ATGAGAAATACTTTTTAGAGACTACACCAAAGAGTATCTGAGCAGCACGTTAACCCCAGCACAACATCAGACACAATGCCCTGCCATGAGGCAGCTTACCTTGGGACTTYCCTCACCTGAAGCTGACTAGAAGGGCAGGTTCTCCACTTTGCAGAGTACCTGATGGCCAGAAGAGCTTTACATTTCTGTCAACTTAGAAAGCTGAAGCAATYGTGCAGAATCTCACCATTTGTTCCAAACCTTAAAAGTCCCATTTACAGCAGAGGAATGCTGTGCTCTAACCAGAGATGTCATGTTGGACAATTCCAGCAAGGAACATTATCTGAGGTATGAACTTATAGGTTCACTGTTTCAACACAGATTTGTGATGGATCCCATCCCATCATCACCTGGTTCAACACCCATCCCAGGACACCTCCTTCCTTTGGGCCACCAAGCAAGAACAGCAGAGAWGGATGATTTAACAGTCTGATGAACAGAGCCTGGATGATTTAACCAAATCTCCATTTGCTTTGGCAAAAACTGAGTCACTGACCAAAACAAGGATTTAACAATGTCTTAAGAAGGTGGATAATYTGCCCTCCAAATTTTTAAATGTTTCTTTATCAGAGGCTGCTCGCTTTAGATCTATAAAATTAGGGCTGCCCCTGCATCAAGGACATATGACAGATCCTCAGAGCCCAAATCTGCTAACAGCTCTAAATGAGGCATAAGACGCGAGTTTGGTCTCAGAGAACTGACCGTCACAACGAATTCCACATTCAGTGCTCCRTGTGCTCGACAGCCAGAAAGCCCCRGCTCTGCACATTTCAGCAGGCATTTTAAACTTAATAGGCAGCACGTGATGCTTTGTTAAGRTTTTGGTGCTGCTGCAGTTTTCAGCTGTTAGGAGGTTTGTGAGGTTTTACAAAACAGAAGCGCATACATACATTTTGAAACTCAGCAGATCTAATCCAAGCCATGAATATGGATTTTCTTATCTCCCTCACTCACCAAAGGAWGTGGAATTGCAAAATTAATGTGACTGATACACTGAACCAAAAACAAACAAAAAAAACCCCAACAACCAAACARAAAAAAGAAYGATCCGTTCATGTAAATGAATGATCCTATCTTAAAAAACAGATTGTGCAAATAATTTCTACTCTCCACATTGCTTTATCTTCTTCTGCTACTACTTTTTACAAAAATATTTGGACTATATTAAAGAAACAATAATCCAAAATACTGACCTAGAGAGGACCTATGATAGTAACAGTGGATAACCGAGTATTGTGAATAGGATTCTGGAGCCCTGGAGATGCTCTTGTTTCTGTGGAGACCTTGTTACCATTTTCATCARTGAGAATGCAGTAGAAATTTGCAGTCACACATACATACAAAGGTAATTTTCCCCTTGTCAATATGTAGAAAAACAGGATGGCCCAAACAAAGGGCTGAAGAAGAGGAAAYGGGAGATGGCATGCTCCTAAAGAAGCAGCACAAAGTCATTTTTAGGTTGCTTGTTACAATAGACGAAATAAAGAACCCGAACCCAAAGATGTCAAGCATCAGCAATAACATAGACAGTATCTATGGTATTAAAAAATATCCTCGTTTATGCACTACTCCTGACATTTCTCTCGCTCCCAGGGGTTTGCTGGAGTTGCTGCACACTTGTTCTGCCTGGATGGCTGCTGAAAGACATTCAGTGTTGCAATCCTTTGTTTATCACAGAACCACACTTCTTGCTGGTAACATTTTACAACTCTTATCACGCTGTTCAATCCAGCTACAACTGTCCAAATCTTGTCTTCTCTAAACCAGGGGAGGTCAAAAAGAAAGAACACACTATTAKAGCCATTGCAGTTAGCTGGTTTAGCAAATACAGCCATTAAGCAGGGATTCAGTTTCATCAACCTGTAAGTTTAGCAAATCCCTCAGCATTTCTGCATAGCAGAAAAAGTGATTAGAATTCAGTTTATTTATCCCAAGTTTTTTAAACTATCATTGTTCTGCATTCCTAAGGGTTTTGCTGTGGGGTTAAACTRCAAGGTTGTGGGGTTTTACACCATAAATTGAGAATTCTCAGATATGCTGCAATAAGCAATTAAAAATGGGAGCTACAGAAATACAAGTTTTAGACTCCAGTGCTTGAAAACAGCTGCCTTGGGGTATTGAAGAGCCTCTCCTAGTCAATACACTCTCAAATTTAAAGCCTTGCCCAAAGCAAAGCTTTTTACTTCAAATGCTCCTTAAGAATTGTGCAGACTAGCCAAGCATCAAGAAAAAAACACCTAAATGTAAAGTCCACCTCTGTTCAAGAAAGCGTTTAATCATCTGTCACTGAATTCCTTTGGCTTCCTCAGATTTAATACTTTAGTTTCTCACTAAGCATGTTTTCTGAATCATGTCCCAAGTATTTAAATACATTTCTTAAGCAGATCCTCAAGAAACATCTGCAACCATTAATCAAAAAAAATTAAGCAAGAAATTATTAATTTGCAATTCAATCAGCAAATTGGCCATACTTGGAAACTGATCTCCCTGTTATGCTCATAGCCAGCCCCATGTGTCTACCACATGACAGACTGCTTTGAAGTCTTGTAAGATTCACCACCGTTTTTAAATTCTTCTAAGTGACATCACACACTTGAAAATGACACCTGAATCCAAACCATCTTGTAGAAATTGTTGGGTTTTTTTAAGAGTTTTTTTTGTTTTGTTTTGTTTTGTTTAGGGTTTTTTTGGGGTTTTTTTGTTTTTTTGAAGGGGGCTGGGGTGGGGTTTGTTTTTTACCCCACATTCAAATTTCTGGAGGCACATCCGGATTTCTCTCAAGCAGATGCAAATCCCAGTGATTCAGACCTAGTCAGGGCATGCAGGCACCTATAGGGCACTGCTTCCCAAATTGATCAGTGCAGTGACAACACACGCCCATCTTTTCATAACTCTCAAGACAGGAATGTAAATAACCTTCAGCCTGAAACCACTCAGATTTCTCACTTCAAGTTTTTGTTTTTACTTAATCTTGAAAATCAACCCAGAGAGCTACAGACTCCTAACCTAATCTGACTGTTTCGAGGGCAACAACTGTACCAAATAGCCACTTCTTTTGTTTTCAACTTCTCAGATCTAACGGGTTCATTAAGTCCTATCTTCAGCTGTTTGACGTTACCAGCATTGTCAACTTCWTTATTTGTCCTGGGAGGCACACATTTTAAACAATGTGACTCAACTGCACACACTGAGAATGAAAGACTTTGYTTTCTTACCTGTTTTTCCCCACTGAATTCTTGTTCAGCTTTAGTCCAAGTCCTGAGCTTCAGAGATTACCAAAAAAATTTCTATACATCCATCAAGTGTTTTAGTGAGGTAGAAAACTGCACTTCTGAAACGGGCTGCTTCCCAGCTCAAAGGTGTTAAAGGAAAAGCAAGATCTGGAGTTCCAGTGACATTCTTGAGATACAATTCAACAGAAATTACATAAGCAGGCCATTGCAAAACATGCCCAGTAGATGTTTTTGCACATACAAATCTGAATTTCCAAGCTAGTGYCTAATCGTGTGCACATTTTCAGGTGTCCTTTCTTTCTCCACCCACTCATCACTCTTTTGAACCAGGTAGGCCAAGACTGTATATTGCCTTCCAGCTTTCAAGAATGCTCTTGAAAATTTTATTTCGAAAGAACACCAGCTGATCTTACAAATCCCTTATAAATCAAAAGCCCAAGCATCTAATTGTTCCCTTCTAGGTGACTATTCCAGCCTGAAAGCACAGAGGAATGTATGGTTCCTCACCTGAACACTGGAACAAGCGTCACCCGTGGAGCAGAGTTCCATCCAACAGCAGTAGGAACTGGTTTGCAGGAGATGGCTCAGAGGGGGTGGCAACTCATCCCACAGGAAATCGAGGTAGCCATAACCAAGCTTCATGTTAGCAAGCTATCCCAGCACCATTAAGTACGTGACCTTCCTGAGACAGAAGAGTCTGGGACTCTTACCAGCCCTCTTGACTATACATGAGCGTGTGCTGTATGCATGCCCTCCCCCAGCACAGGAATGCATCCCTGCACTTGTGTGCATAGCTGGGTGCTCCATGCATGCCCTTGAACTCCCATTTCATCCCCATGCTTAGGTGCTCCAGTGTGAAACAGATGAGGAGAGTGAACACAGATTTGTGTAGATCTGAAAGGGGACTGTCGGATGGATAGGAAATGTTTTCTTCTGCCTGGAGATCTTAATTAATCCCTTGAGTTGATATTCAGGAACACAATYAGCACAAAACATTACAGGRTTTAGAACTACAAWAAAAATATACTGAAGCAYAAGGAAATGCTTGAAAAATRCATTTTCTGAACATTCATTAAGCARTAAATTTCACTGAGCCTGGAAAGTTAATTTTTTTCATTAGACATGCCCAGGGCAACTTAGGAAATGTCTCGAAAATTGTTCAACTTGAGGCTAAAGCAAGCAGTTTTGCTTGTTGACACGAGCATGCAAGAGGTAAAGTGACAAAGAGAAAGAACACAACAAGCCCAGCTGTCAGCCCTACGAACAGTGTACAGCACCAGAAAGGTCAGTAACATGTTCCAAATCCATTGCATTTCCAGACAATCTTGTCCTACTGAAGCTCTTGCACAAAAACTTTGGCTTCAGGGCCAGCAGATTTTTCAACAGCCTCACAGCTGCTGCTGGGATTCATTTGCTGCCATGTACTTTCTTCCCTCCYTCCCCGCTCCATCCACCCATTGAAAAAACAAGCCACGCTTTCTGTGCAACTGGGATAAGGAAGCATTTCAAYCCCAACATTTAGGAGAGAGGTGTTAACACAAGACCATCTTCTGCACTACTCATGTAAGTGTCTCATGCCAGCAGGCCCCATTCCCAGGGTCTAGTTTAGCTGTGGAGGGTGGGTACAGATCCATTCTTATGAATGTGAGAAAGCAACATCCTCTGCTCCCTGGCATCGTTGTGAAAAGATCCAGGGAACAGAGGCTTGGCTCAATTTATGCAATAGACTGGTGCCTGGAGCTTTTGCTTCTGGGACACCTACAGTAGAGTTCAAACCATGTATTAATTGTTTGKTTTTGATTCAGCCCTGCTGTGAATGTAACAAAACCAGCATGTAGTATCGACCATCTCTACTCCAGAAAGGCATCTGCACTAGCAAAAAAAGCTGGCTGCCCATGGCTCCAGCAATAATGTGCCTGGGAAGGGGGGCTCAAGGGAAGAGGGAACCAGYGTACCAGTCTGCACAATGCAAGCGTAAGTAAAGGAACAATTCCTCACTTCCATAAGCAAAAAAAAGTTTACTTAAAAATTTTGATTAAAACAAAAAAAAAGTTTTGCGTCTCAGAAGTCATTAGCTATAATTCTGGTTATGTATTCCATACTACCTAAAACATGAACGCCCTTTTATTATTTACCACAACCCATACTTTACACAGTCTTAAAACGCYGAGTGTTGATTCTAAGCAACCCTCTCATAAAATACGGAGCAAYTCTGCCAAATTCCATTCCATGCTCTTCATCTGATGGCAAAGTAAAAGAGGAACCACAATTCACTTGCTATCATTCTTTTCCTGCTAACGTTTTATTCAGACTGAGCTTCATTAATAAAGATGAAACTTTGGACTCATGACTGCTCCATGTTTACAAAACATACAGGCTCCTTTACATCTTAGTTAAGCATGAACAATCACTGAACACACAATTTCTAAAAAAATCCTGCATACCAAAATTGCATATTTTGAATTTTTAAAATTCACTAAACAAAATTTCACAGAGTGAACCCTAAAGTCTGTTTGCCAGCAAAGCACAAGCCAACAATGGAAGTTGGGACCATCCAGGAAAAAAGCTGAAGCTGGACCCCAACACACACATCCTTCCTATTAAACAAGCAAATAAATACACATTCATACAGAGTAATGTGCTCTAAAAATGCAGGTGCTTGAATAATTACCCACACATTTTAGCATAAGTTTTGGTTTCTCGAACAGTATTGTGTCACAGTAAGTTTCTGTCTTTCTTTTTGGTGGAACTGGGCAGTGACTTTTTACTGGACACCAGAGAACAACAGCTAACCTGGAACCTGATGATTTTGGCACAAGTCYAAATGTGTTTCTCCACAGAGAAAAAATTACAAAGACAAGGCTGTTTTTTAAAATAATAATAAAAAAAATTAGCAGTATCACTTTTTAATGCCAGGTGTTGAACCAAGGAATGGGACAGACTGCACTGCATTTTTAAAGTAGTATGACTACTGACATACTTGAGAAACATTTTAACACTGTACATTACAACAAACTATTTAATTCATTTCTACACAAGTCAGCAAAAAAGCTAGGTGATCTAACATATATGACAGCTGCAAATATAAAATTCTAGTCACAGTCCAAAGCCAGAACAAAAACTTTTCCAGAACTCCTATTTATAAAAAGGAATGAACATACACACCATGCGTGTATACGCAGGCAAAAATCTTGAGGTTTTACTTATTGCTCTTACACAAGGCTGTGAGCAGGCAAATGTCTGGATCAGAAATTAGGTCAAACATGCATTTCAGCAGGCACAAAAAGTACAGGAAATTGATATTAACAAAACAATGTACTCTGTTACGTAATACAGGATGGTATTCTGCTAATATAACACTTACATCATTAATTCCGGATAAACTCCAGGTCTGCCTGTTGTATAATGTGTTATGCAGTGTGGTATTTTAACCTAATTTCTGAGTCCTCTGCACTCTCCATGTGGAGATGAAGAGGGCCTTTCTTCATCCAGAGAATCCTCGGCCTCAAGAGCTTCAGTCGGGCAGGTATGGCTGGAAGGAGGTAACATTATCACCACGGTGTCACCAGGACCCGCTACTTGACTGCCTCACATTTTTGTGCATTCACTGACAACTCAGATAAACAAATGCAGAAGCAAAATGCACCARTGCTGTTCTCAGAGCATCTTTCACCTATGCCGTATGCTTCTGGTACACCCAGCAATTGCTACAGGATAAGGCAGTAGAGGGTCAAGTCCTGTGTCTGGTCCATTCCTCAAGAGTCTTATGAAAGGCAGGAATTTTGTGAACTGGCTTTCCTTTACACAATAAGCAGCGTAGCATGGATGTCAGTAGAAATCTGGCTACCTACTGGCAACGAGAGACAAGCACGTTCACAAGACACATTTGGGAATACCTGGTGTTCCCTACTGCAACCAAATGAAACATGCTGTGGTGTCCATATTTTACAATACTTGCAAGCCAGGTTCAAGGCATACTGCACATGGGCCTTTGCACAATAAAGGCATTGAGTGTGTTATCTGAAGCCTTTTTTTTTCTGTGCATACATATGACAGTAGCTAAAAATCAGCAAAATGGTTCCTCTCCGCACATGACCAAACACATACCATAGCAACTAAGCACCCTATATTCTATTCTTCAGTTAATGGGAATCAAGGAAGAAAACAGTGGTTTAGGAACAGGGAAGGACAGAAATCCAGCATGAAGTTAGAGGTATGTTCCTGACAGAAGTCTGAACTGAGAATGTTTATTGTGAACCAGCAACTGGATTTTGTGACATAACAAGAAAACCAAGGACAACTATGGGGCCAACTTGGGCACTGCATAGTCCAAACTTTGTTATAATATGGCATTCAGCAATCTCTAAGAATCAGAAAAAGCAGTAGGTAGACAGGAGGACACGCTTTGGAGAGATTATCCTTGTACACACAAAAGAAGCAGTGCAAATCAACAGGTTTTTCTGTCTTAGTAAAGGTCTGCCATGTGCCCCTTGATCCAATCCCTAAATCTCACATTAGTTTCAGCTTTCAGACTTGCCAAACACCCAAATTCACACTGGGCTCTATTTTACTTATGAGCAGCACTACTAAAGCTAGTGGGACTGCTTATAGCAAGGTGCCACTGCAGTGCACGTTCAGGAATTTTGGCTCTTCCCAAGAAGTGAACTGCAAATGACTGGGGTTTCATGGCAGTCACAGGTGRAGGGAGACACTTCCTGTGTTTGTTTTTCAAATCTGTCCTTATGAACATCAATATTAATAAGACTGAAACATGGGAAGAGGCTCTGTTATGCTCACCCGGATGTTCTGACACCAGGAGAGCCACAGCATTTTAGGAGGAGTGTTCCACCCAGTAAAAGGTTAGGCTGGCCTAGGTTCTTCTCCCAGAAATGTCACTGCCTCTTACCAAATGACTGCATACAAGAGTCCTTGTTCTCAATTTCAATGGTGAAGCTTTCTTAGAGCAATACCTCTGTCCTACCACCCATGAGTACACAATTGCATCTCCTAGGAAAAAGGGAGGCAAAATAGGTCTAAATTCTTTAAAAACAACTAAGAAAACCCAACCTCTAGTGAAAGAAAATTAAGAACAATCTGTTATCCTCACACGAGTCCTAGGACTTCTCATGACCCACTTCTTCACTAATAGCTATGACAGCCAGGTCATCAGGAAGTCTGCAGCCAGACTGGAGGTAAAACAGCATGTSCAACATTTACCATGCAAACCCATCCTTCACATAAAGCTGCTTAGGTAGAGCTGTTTTGACTGCATTTTTAGGTATTTCTCCTAGCCCACTTCGCTTCCATCCTCAGAAGCTCCTTCAAACAAAAGATGCTGGATATTACCACTTCCCTGTAGTTAAAGAAATGGGGAAAAAGCAAGCAAAAACCAAACACCAAGGAAGGAAATGATTGCTTGTAAAATGCTTCCTTTTAAAAACTATTGTCAGCTCCCTAACTTGGTTTAAATAATGAGCCATTTAAAACATATAAAACGCTTTACCAGCTAAATGATTTCTGCGTTCTATGARTCTCCCTCCCTCCCCTCATTAAAAACTAATGCACGTGTGGACTGGTACTGAACACCTCGTACAGTTGTGCGCCAGTTCTCATTTAATTCTATGTGGAGCAGTTTTGATTTCAATATACTGTGTTTAAAGAAGAGCCCGTACTGTATACTTCACAGTATAACCAGCTACACAGAGGTCTTTAATCTCGTAACACAATAAAAAAAAAAATCACTGTGAAGTTGCAGTCCCTTTGATAAATGGTTACGGTGACACATGCAGTCCTCCTCAGTGCCACTGCCGCCAGACACGGGACGTGATTTTACCCGCAGGCTGCCGAGAGGCCCGATGCCACCCCTCCGGGGGCTGCAGCCAGGCAGGCACCGCCACCCCGGTGCACAGCGTCCTGCAGTCACTGGGGAAAGCTGCACGCAATTGTCTCGCTCAATCCACCACCACCGACCCGACCCGGCCCACGGGGGAGCACAGCCCCGCCGCCTCAGCCGCAGGAGATCACCGTGAAGCGCTTGGAAATGCACGACATGTTGTGGAGAACGATGCCCAGGAGGAAGACCAGGACGCAGGCCACCAGGATCACAGTGCACACCCCSGACCAGGTGGAGCTTTTCACAGCGCCTCTCCGGTCCGGCTCCTCCGCCCCGGCCTCGGCGGGAAGGCCGCCCTGCAGCGGCTGCTGCTCCGCGGGGATCGTCACCACCGTCAGGGACTTCTGCTGGCTGCCGGGCAGGAGGCGGCAGCCAATGTCTCCCGGCAGCAGCGCCCTCTCCTTGGAGAGAGGCAAGGGCAGCATGTAGCAGCCATTGCTGGGGAGTTTGATGAAGACGGGGGTGTGCTCCGAGGTGTGGGGGATCGCGATGACGGCGATCACCTCGGGGTCATCGGGCAGCTGCGACACGGAGTAGCCCGGAGGCAGCTTGGTGATCCCGCGGCACCAGGGGCAGCGCAGGTCCTTCTGGCTGGTCCTCATCTGCTGCAGGCACACGGAGCAGCACGTGTGCTTGCAGTCCAGCAGCTTGGGCCGCCGGCGGGGGCTGTAATAGTTGAAGCAAATCTGGCACTCCAGCAGCGAGTCCTGGGACAGTGTCTCCATGGTGGGCGGTGCAGGGAAGCACAACAGGCCTTGCGATGAGCCGCACCCTGGCACCCCTAGGGCAAGGGGGAGCAGCCTTCCCACCGCTTCTCCTCAGGGCAGCACTGCCTTCCCAATGCTACTTCTCCTCAGGGCAGCACTCGCCTTCCCAACGCTGCTTCTACTCAGGGCAGCACTCGCCTTCCCACCGCTGCTTCTCCCCAGGGCAGCACCGGGCAGCAGCTACAGAGGGCACGGGAAAACCTCCAGCCTGAAACTTTCAGCACCTGAGACAAACAGAAAAACGTGAATGAACAGGTTACTCACAGGAACTGGTGAGAACAAAAGAGGCCAGCAAAGGGGAATGAAAACTAGCACTGACTTTGTTACCTAGTGCAAGAAACAAATTTGTGATCCTTCACTAGAAAGCATCTTCCCACCAGCTTCACCAAACAGCCCAGTGACAAACCCTCAGGCCAGTCAACAGTACTATCACTAGGTTTCCCTTTTTTTTTTTTTTTTCCCCCAATTTTGCCAGCAATCAAACCCCCATCAACCCATCAGTCCACTACTCACAGTTATATTTATGCCCATAACAGAGGTGGCTGWACAATTCACTAGCCAGGTCCCACAGCAACTACCTCCTGTCATATTTTCAGGACTTTTCAGCCCTTCCTGCACCAAAACAACTGTTTTCATTTAATCCTTTAAACTCTGAGGATTTTTAGCTATTTGGCTCAACCGCCAAGTCTGCATGAAAGGTGGGGGAAAGAAAAAAGTATGTTTAAATGGAAGCATTTCCACAGGCCCTTGAACAAGTGCCTGTGCACGAATGAGCAACCAACCCACTACACTGTAACACCTACATTTGTACATAATGAAAAGGAATGGTACCATTTTCAGTCAAATTAACTGTCTGCCTAGTTACACAAGCAGCTTGTTGAACATGGCCCTCTGAAACCTAAACCTTCTCACTAATGAAAACCTTACCTGAGACAAAAGGTTCTGTTTAGACCCAAAACCAGTGAACACCATGAAGAACAGAAATAAAACAGAATAATAACAGAAATATAATTCACTGAATTAAAAGCAAATTTTTACTAATCTTGTTCTAAACTACTCCTTACTAAGGGATTCCCTTCATACTTCCCATTTTCCCACTTATTACTTGTATCTTTGCAACAAAAAAGGCATCTGTGTTTACTTTCATAGCGTGGTGTTTGATTTTGTTCACTCCAACACAATTAACGTGAAGGGGGGGACAGTTTTACAACACTTTACACTTCCTTCCTTTTTGTGTTTGAAGAAGTATCAGCCTGAATTTGCATCCAGAGAATAAAATAAAGAAAACCCAAAATATTTAAAGGGTGACCTTTGATMTTCTCTTATTGCAATGTTACTGCCAAACTAGAGTTAACACCCAAGGACCACAGCTTTCAGAGGACATCTTCCTTTCTATATAAGAACTTCTTGCTCCTCTCTCTAAATTAGAGCAACTAGGTTGCAACACACTGATCAATGGGTGATGTCAGTAAAACAAATATTGTAGCTTAAGAAGGCAGGCATAGACATGGGGTTTGCAACTCAGGACAGTGCTCTGGATCTCACTGTCCTGTATCTTGCTTCTGGCAGTCACCAGTATTTGAACAGAGAAAACAAACGTCACRTCATCTCTTCAGATGCTGATGACTGAGACCACTGACATTGACAGAATTGGCCCCTGCTGCTGATTTTGTAACAGCAGTGGATTTTGGCTCACAAAACACTTCAACAAACATGCAGTGATAATCCCAACTCAGGAGGGAGCAGGGGTTGGTGTTAAGAAGGCAGGAGCTTCTGAAGTATGTACAATGGCTGCAGAGGGAAATGGCACATGCTTGAGTCCACTAGCACTTTTGGGATGCTTTATCTCAATGTGGCACAGGCCACGGCTGAGAGAGACCCCCACCATCATGAAGCCCATGGGACATCTGCTCCACACCAGGGCTGTGCTACACAAAGGCATCAACAGATAATCTGTGTGCTGAGGAGCTGAGCACTGCTGCAGTAGGGGCTACACATCTGCTGCCTGTGTGCAGGCCACACCGAGGCAAAGGGAAAGAAAATGAGGAGAGGCTTTATCTTCTTTATTCCCTTACCCATTACTATTTCCATATCCCTATGGTACAAGCACACATAAAGGAAGACTACCAAGAAAGGAACTGACATGATAATAGACTAGCATGCAGCTAAGAGAGAAAAATGGAAGAGAGATATCCATGATGCTGAGCAATTTCTGGCTGAAAAAAAAAATATTAAGAGACAAACACCAGAATAGAAATTACTTACAGGAACTCAGGAAGGAATCACTGAAGCCACCAGATCAAATTTTCAGCAACAAGCAGCCCAACAAATTTGCATTTTGCAYAGAAATAGCCATACAAAATATGCAGTTACTCACAGTCCAAGTGAAAGTTGAGCGCAGACATTACAAGACACTACTCTTACCTGGCTTTATCTGCAAATCTATTAAAAAAAACCCACTCACTGGTTTGCAGTATTATTACAGTAAGAATTCCCAATGAAAAGAAATTCAGAAATTAGGGCTTATCATAGAATCATAGCATGGCCTCAAAGATTAACTCATTCCAACCCTACTCCTGACCAGATTGTCAGAGCTCCATCCAGCCTGGTCTTGAACATTTCCAGGGATGGGCATCCACAACTTCTCTCAGCAACCTGTTCCAGTACCTCACCACCCTCACAGTAAAGAATTTTTTCCTAATATCTAATCTAAACCTACTCTCAGTTTAAAACCATTCCTCCGCGTCCCATGACTATTTTGCCCAAGGACAGAGTGGAGGCATTCCTTCTGCAGATGTAAATCAGTATCTCTGCAAGGTTAAGACAGGGCTTATCCACCTGCATGACATAAACTGTTCATACTTTCCCAAAACATCTCAAATAATAGAGGTGTGGATCAGCAGTAATGACCAGTAAGCAGTGGTTAATATGATTTCTTCAGAACTTTACTAAAGACAAGTTAAAGAGTAGCCACAGCCATAACCCCTTGGCCTTTGCTGACATTGCCTTGTTCAAAGGTTGGACATGTAGCTTCACAGGTGCGACTTTATGTCCAACCATACAACCCTCTTTCACTGTGCCACAACTCAGTTTCTGGATAAAAGAAAGTCAAGCCATCACATAGAGTAAGAATTTATTTGAAAAAAAAATTGCAGTATGTAGCTAAGAAGTAGAAATCCATGGGAGCTCTCAGTATTCTTCTACCACTTCACTTTAGTAACTACACCAAGAGGAGGAAATCTCCTCTTGGAGAGGGGACTGAGCTGTTAAGTTTATGTYCAATGCACCCTCATGCCAGCTGAAGGTACTGAGCTGTCACAGGTGAACAGCTCATTCAAAGCTTACTCAGACTTGCCGCTTCTCTGTGCTTCAAGCACAAAGACTGAGAGGCAGCCAGGACTGCACATGAGGGCATGGCTGATGGCAGTATCAGCCCAAACCACTGCTGTGTCATTTGCTCTCATCACACTGTGGCACCCAAGGTGACAAGGGGACTTTGACAGGAAAACAGAGGCGGGGGGAAAAAGCAGAAAGCACTGTCAGGGAATATCCATAGGTCTCTGCAAAACAAATAGCACGTGTATATGTACAGATAGGGGCACACACCCACATGGATGCGGAACAGGGCTGGAGACTATGACAGTGAAACCACACAGACAGAAGCTGCTGCAAGTAGTGACTCTGCCTCACACAAACCTGACAGCAACTGGAAGCTCTTCAGGGCTGAGATTTAACTTGTAACACAAATAAAAACTAACTGGAAATGAAAATCCACAAGCTCCAAAGTTCATGTGTCAGAAAGGTGCAGCAGGAACAAAGAAASCAAGAGAGTGCCATGAAAAGAAGCATCAGGAAACCTCTCTGCCTGCCCTACACTCTCTTTCCCTTACTGTACATGTGCCCAATATCCACAAGGTTGCTGCTGGCCAGCAAGGAGAGGAATTCACAAGCAGTTACAGAAAAGAAGAAACCTGCAAAGCTGATGACCTGTGCAGCAGCCAAGTGGCTGAGAGCATGGCACAAAGGTTCTCCTTGCAGATTTGGGCTGCCCTTGCCTTTGGGCTGCCAGGATTTCTTCAAATTGTGTGACTCAAGAGCAGTAAAGCTCTGAAGAATAAAACAAATATTTCAGCTGTCTGTCAGTCATACTATCTGTTCTGCCAGTACTTTGTTGGAGACCRCAGCAGAGACCCAAGTTCTCTCTGTCTGGGTGAGCAGGAGACAAAGAATGCCACGGCATCAGCTTCCTACCCCCCCAAGAAGCAGAAGGGGGATTTGCTTTTCACTACTGACAGCTTCCCAGCACAATGTGGGATGTGCTGCAGGAAGTGAACAGGTGAAGGCTGCTGTAGCTATGACAGCGACAAGAAGAAAGCACAGGTTTGCTGTGTACACACACCAACTACAAACTGGTCCCCAACTGGGCAGGTCAGAAAAGACAGCTATTTTTGAAACCCARTGCAAAGGAAGATACTGAACATCCATGCCCAGAGCTGTACATRAAGTCAAAGAACACAGTAATTAATGCCAAATCCTTGTCTAGCAAGATGATTTTTTTTTCTATGTATGGATAGCCCCTGTGACATTAAGCACTGGAAACCACAGCCTTGAAGAGGTGCCACCTTCACTGAAGGACTCAGAAATATCTTCACACATACTTCCTAGTAAGTTACTAGGGCCCAAAATTCCATTAACTTGAAAACCCCAAAAATATACTTCAGTGATGCCTGTGGAATCCAATAYAATTCACAGATGATTAAACATCATATAACATTTTGAAAGACTGGCTCTGGGGCATGCTGATGCAGTTAACTGATCACTGAGAGAAAGCCTCAAAAACTTTGCACAGACTTACACAYGGATTTAGGCCATCTACTTGCTGTACAGCAAGGTTATAACAGAAGTTCAGCAAGGCAGTGCATTGACAATACTTCACCTTTACCGAGGAAGGTTCATTATGTAAACTCCCCAAACACATTAACAATTCTTTGGCAGTATTACTGAGTATGTATGATTTATGAAGAAGAAAGAATCATTCATTTCAGGTGCCCTTAGGCTGTAAAGGAGATGGGGTGAGGAGGGAGTGCTGTTCTCAATAGGGGAACTAATTGCAAAATCATGTGCCCACAGACAGGGAAGGAAATGTCTGCTACAGTCACTTCAAACAGATAATGAGGAGGACAGAACATATTTAATATTTCGAAGCATTTCTGCCACAAAAATTCAGCATCTGTGAACATTTTTCACAAAYTCATTTTTGGACAAAGCACACTCAGGCTACTGCACATGTCCAGGACGTACTACCTGATTTCCCCTGAATACCCTTCACTAAATGATCTTACTTATTTTTAGGCTGTTCTGTAGCACTAATTACCATAGTAACTGAGAACAGCACAACGAATAATTAATTTATTCATCACAATACCCTTGTTAAGAGACAAGTATTATCATCATTATATTCTTTCATCATCTAAGAAAAGAAGTGCTGAGAGACGAAGCAGTTGGTCCAAGGTCATGCAAGCACCACCCAGATTGCCTCAAAGATCCTGTACAATTTCATCACAACTCTACTTTTCACCTCATGAGCCACAGGGCAGAGGTGACAGATTCTTTTCTGCAACAAAGCTCAAAAACCTAGCCAGYTTTCCCCACCTCTTCCAGCTGGCAGCATCCCCATGGCATGCCTGGGATCTAGCGGTGGCTTTCATTAAACATACCAGCTTTTTCACAGGTTATGAAAAACACAAGAGCCTATGCTCCATAAGCCAAGCATCTCCATGGGCATAGTTCACCCATCATGSAGATTACAACTGAGAGACTATATGCATTTTGAGGGACATAAAGCTAACAATAAAACAAAGTCACTCCATTCCTCTCTCTAGAACTACCTATTTTCCAGGAACCTTCCTGTAAGCCAGGCAGCTTACACCCACCAGCCTTTCCATTTAATTATTCACAATTGCACAGAAATATTGCAGAGCAAGAGTGTTTTAGCCAAAGCCTTAGCCAGTGCAAGCTGTCGCTGCTCCTTTAGCTTCAGTCCAGCCCTTGCCAAGATAAGCATCAGGAATATACAGTCCCGGGTGYATAAAGCCACAAAAAATAAATCTGAGTGAAACTGTGATATATGAGCCTACAAAATCCTATGAACCAGCACCAGGGGATCCATGCTGATGGAGAGAATCTGCTCTGGATGATCCTGATGGCACAATCGGACAGAATACTGGTTGTCCTGCCACTCAGACAGCTTAGAAATCAGTGGTGGGTCACAAAAAAAGAAGCTCAATTGCAAGGCATCATTCCACAGCATTTACCTTAGAAATTGTCACCAGCCAGCCCTAGGAAGAGGAGACACAGGAAGAAAGGTCACCTACAGGAATGTAACGAGATGTAGACGTTTATGGGTTTGGAGCAAAAACAGATCAGGTGAAAACACCAGYCTCTGGTGTTTAGAGAAAACAGAGAGACTCACATGCTGCTGCGTGCTCCATCTCACATCACCAGCTGTGCTGCTCCCTCCTTTTATCGGCAAACTTTGACACGTCCACATTCCCTGCCTCCAAAGACCTTATTTTGGTCAAATATGACCAGGATAAGCTGCACTTTGTTCCAACAGCAAACACTACTAATCACCTGCAACGTGCCAGGTCAGCAAACATTTCATCGTGCTGAGGCAGAATAGTACAGCTATGGTCATCAGACAGTTTCACATGAGGCACTTTACAAGTGAAAAATATCTGAAATCAAAAAATATGATTTTTTGAAATACACAGAAATATGTCCATTTCAAACAGGCACAGACGAGAGCGGACAGCTTTCCTGCCCACACAACCTCTCAGCAGCCCTCTGTGCAGGTGAKCCTGGAAGCCAGGCAGTGGGAACATAACTCTGGTATGTCTGCAGTTTTTTGACAAGTTCAATTGTCCAGCTGTCCCAGAGCCATGGTTCCCTGAATCTCCTAATCCCCTCCATCCTGGCAGAGCATCCCCCAGGTGCAGCTCAGMCCTGCTGAAATGAGTGTGGTACTTCTCACACTGTTTTAAGTTTCTCTTCCCTCCATCAAGGGTGCACTGGCATGGCGAAAGACCTGACTGTAGTCCTAAAACATACCACGTGAAAATTTTCCAGCACAGGACATAAAAAGGTTCCTTGCATTTTGCAAACAAACAAAATCTCCAGCATTCAAAGCATCCCAAGGGATGCTGCTCATTTCTAAAGCCCACTCTGAGCACAATGCTTGCAAGGCCATTAGCACTTCCTCAGTTCTGTTGGCTGCTCTTAATTATGCCTGAGTCACTTCTAAACCCTAGATCAAGAGGAATTAAAAGCCAGTTTTTTCCACCACCAAGTGAGAGWTGCATTTGCCATTCAAACCCACATCATGAACAATGGCAGTGTAGAAGATGTGGTGTGAGAAGAATTCTACCTCTCAGCCCTGAATAAAAGCAGCACCAGTAGCTATTTATGACCAGGACTTAAGGGGCAAGGGGTAGGCAGTTGGCAAAGACAGATTTAGAAGCTGCTTCCTTAACTTAAAGTGAGGTCACAAGTTAAGTCATTGTGTCCAAAATCCCACAACACACCGATGAGCTACTGGCGCTGAACTCACACTCAGTAACAGCTTTCAAACGCAATGTAACATCCTCTTTCTAAGGGATTTTCACTTATGGCAATGTGACATAATACTGTGGCATTCAAACTGCTGATAGAGGCATGAAGCACCTGATCACTTAAATTACAATTTTTACTCTCCCATTAGAGCTTTATGCTTCATCTGCCATTGACAGAATTTGCCTGATACCTAAATAGAAACTTAATTAAAAGATTCTTCCCTCCCTCCCCCGAGGATCTGTTATTAGACTTACAAAATACACCATCAAAAAAAATTAATTTTAAATAAAGCTCAAACGCAGACTTTTCTCACTGATACAGGTCAGTGGGTGACTGAGTCTATTAAGACACTAGTCTATAATTACAGGAGAGAGTGCTACAGCTCTCCAAGGTCATTGAGTGGATTTCGATAAAAGTAGGACAAAACCTACCTGCCTGTGGGCCCAAAGAGGCAGGAAAGGAATCAATACTCACATGTTCATACACTGYCTATACAATGCAAAAACTGGAAACTCAATTTCACACTTACCTCAGGAAACAAAAGCCCTTCAAATTGTTTAGAGAGTTTTAATTGCTGTGACTGCTCTGTATCTCCAACTCATATCGCCCCCCCACCAGCTGCTTAACATGATTTGTGCTCTCTGTACTCACCCAGCACAGCTTCCCCAGGACATGACTGTGTGACCCACATCACTGAAAGCTACCTTCACATGGCKGCTCTCAAGGCCTGGGATGGCCTGGGGTTTGTTTCCTTTAAGTGCAGAAAGGGGTTGTTTCTTTTTATTCTTCAGAAAAAGTGGAGGGGCAAAGCACAACAGACCTTGGGGAGTCAAAGTAATACATCCTTTTACATTGAAATAGATGGGATTAAGAAATTGGAAAATATTTTATTAAAAGCCCCACAATGACAGATAAGGAAATTCTCTTCTTTCAWAGACCATAATTAGTAGAGTAAGGTCTGAAGATCAGAAAGGCACAGGGAGCATTTTTCATCTTTTAACCTTCCTCCTTCTGCTAATCTGCTAAGTGGGCAGCACAAAGGAGGACAGCCCCGTTTATCAACAGAGAATGTGTAACAGCTGTGCCWACGCCAATCCACCACTTCCAAGAGTTTACCTTCACAAGAGAGTGGAAGATAGCCAACTAATATGCCTCCTCAAGGTCAATGGCTCTGTCATTTCGTAATGCAGACAAATCGTGATYTTCATGAATTTTTGGCCTCTGATAAGCGCTACAGCTACTCCAGGTCACAGCACTGGTCATCCTGGTTTGCAGTTACACCAAAAGGAACTGGAACGGATCCAAAAGCTCCTTTCTTATTGGAAACTAATCATTCACCCTGTAACATTCTGTCAGCTAATAATATTAATACCACCCTCACTTCCTGGATTTTGGGAACAGTCCAACTCTCACAGCAAATATGGATCACAAGCAGAGTTAGATCAAGCCTGAACTGCATAATACTGATGATTTCCTATTTCATGATTTATCTCTCTGTCTTTAYACCAGTAAAATCCTCCGAAGACATATAGCAGGCTATACCAGATAAATAATTACTTCCAATATTTTTCCAAACCACACGTTTCTAGCTATGACTATGAACACTCCACAGGCTCCAGTTCAGACAAGTTATGAAGCACATGACCTGACATWAGCCAGYGAAGTTAATGGGATCACACACGCTYTTGAGGTCAGTTGCACATTTACATACCTAACACATGATCCATCAACACAGAACAAGGTGCCAGCAGCCACAGGCAGATCAAGGTAATCTCCAAGTGCTAACACCTTTGCTTCCCCTACCCTGACAAGGTGTGACCTGAGGAAACACAATCCAACCTTCTCAAAACTGCTGCAACTAAAYAAACTGGTTGTACATCAACTATCCCAACCAGCTCCACGCTGCCACATGAAGCCCCAGAACAATCAGCTAAAACTGCAGATTAGTGGAGACAACAAACTGACACCAGGGAAGGCTCCCAGCTCTCTCCATGTCCACGGACATGGGAATGCCCATGACAGAAACAAGGCTCTGAAGGATGGATTCTAGAAAGAAGCCTAGAACAGAGCGAAAGGATTTACACTGAGTCTCTCCATCATCTGAACCAGCACTGTTTTCAGACAAAAATAGTCTTGCAGCAAAGCAAAGCAGTGCTCTCTCTCAAGGGTGATGATCATAACTCAGGTTAGCTTTACCACAATACTCTCAGGTGGGCTGAGATAAATTACAGCKCTGGGACACTGAGCTCAGAGCTCCTACCCCTTCTGCTGTGGCAGCCATGCTGCAGTGGGGACTGGCAATTGGCTGCTCAAATGCTCAGGCATGTGAAGATAAACTATTCCTGCCCACCTTATGTGAAACCTACTGCTGCCTTCCTTCACAGAGACGATACTCAATTCCAAGAGCCACTCCTACAGTTGCATGAAGTTTATCACACCTGCCAAGCTTTGTCAAGTCGAATCTCATTCTTTACAATGACTTTGAAAGTTTGGAACAAACATCACCCATCCTCGAGTCAAAGTCTGCTGTTGAAACATCCTGGTGTGAAAATACCCTCYATTTGGCAGCACTTAAACTAACAGCTTAGAGCATATTTGCTGTTTGAAGGAGTGCAAATGCTCAGAAAGAACTATGTTACGCCACATTAGAGCAAAACAATCAAAGTGAAGCAAACTGCTTTACACCGCTTAATTTTGTGCCTGGTTCTGCAGTCCTTGCAATGTAACAGAACAAACTCAGGAAAGGAAACTAGCATAAGACTGCTAATGCTCCACATTGTCACAWKCCTGATAGTCTATGGCCACAAAGAKTSCTAGGCTCACRGGAATAYGGACAATCAAGCCAATAATCAGTAAAAAGAAGGCTGCTAGACACACTTTTCTGAAGAAAAGCCTGAAAACATGAACTTCAGACGCCCCAGATCCCAGTTAGGTAGGACCCCTAAACTTCAGTCTCTGATTTGCAGGCCAGTCTTGTGATTCCTGCATGAGAGTTAGAGATAACTAAAGAAATGAAATTTTGAGGTGAACAAATTCATTGGCAGTTTCAGATCAAATTATGCAAATACTTTCTCCTTCGGCAAAAATGGAAATTTCCATTAACACATCAACTCATTTCAACTTCCATTTCAATTTCACTGTTTTCTTTCARAAGAAATTTATAAAAAGGTAATGTAAAGGGCAAAAAAAGCTTTTTGTACTGACTCTGGAATAATTTTTCTTCTGATATGGTCAGCCACTGGGTAAAGCCAGAAGTGTCTCTCACTGCTCTACCGCTAAATGTGGAATGCTTGAGTCTAATGATGAACCATGATTTCCTTTCCTTTCCTTTCCTTTCCTTTCCTTTCCTTTCCTTTCCTTTCCTTTCCTTTCCTTTTCCTTTTCCTTTTCCTTTTCCTTTCCTTTCCTTTCTTTTCCTTTCCTTTCCTTTCCTTACAAAAGCAAATTAGACCCACTCTATCAGCTGTAGTTTCACAGAAGTGTGTTTTCAGTAATTGTTATTCAGCTTTTTTTGGTTGTCATCTTAAAAATTAAATCACAACATGAGGCATTTTCAGCATGCAATTTCACAATGTGTCCAAAAGCTGAAGAGGACTATGTGGTCAATCAGAGTGCTGTTTTTTACAACTGTCTCTTGCAAAGGATGTGAAGGATCTTACAGTGAAAAGCCAGGTGGTTCAAGGATTTCTTAAAAAAAAGGTCACAATCATCCCAGTGTTCTCCAGAACACATCCCAAAGTCATTAATTACTTTTGAAGACTTATATCAGACAAACCTCACCACTTATTTCCAACATGTATTTCACCTTGAATTCTGTGTTCAGTTCTGGTACCCTCGCAACAAGAGGAACATTGAGCTGCTGAAGYGTGTCCAGACAAGGGCAGTAGAGCTGGTGAAGGGTCTGGAACACAAGTCTCATGAGAAGCATCTGAGKGAGCTGGGGYTGTTTAGCCTGGAGAGAAAGWGGCTCACAGGAGACCTTTTCACTCT